ACTCTTTCCTTAGGGGAATGTAACCAAGGTTGTCATTGATTGTTTTGAAATTTAGAAGGATTTTTGTAGGAGGAAAAATCTCTCTAACATTCTCGTTAAGCAATTAACAAATATATATACAACTCAGATTAACCCTCTTACAATTAGAGGGGAGTTCAAATCATCGTGATGAAAAGAAAAGAAATAGAAACACAATAATGGATAAAAAGGGAGAGAAATTTCTCCCCCTCAATATAACAATGGGCTTATGGTTTCCAAAACCATTGGTGGGCCCATGTGGTCCACGGTTATATGCATATCAATACTCCCCCTCAAATTGGGTTGTATTTGTCATACCTCCCAAACTTGATATTGAATCACTAAATTGGTGCTATGGAAGACCCTTGGTAGAAATGTGAGCAATCGGATATTGATTTGGGATGTAACTTAGTTGGATAAACTCCTCCATTGACCTTCTCAGAGATGAAGTGCCCGTCAATCTATATGTTTGGTTCGATCATAGTGTACCAAATTCTTTGAAATACTGATGGTTGATTGATTATCGTTCAACACCTTAACAGTGATGTTGTTCTACATGTGAAGTTCCACCAGTAATTTCTTTAGCCACATCCTTTCACAAATTCCTAGGGCCGGAGCATGATACTCAGATTCATCACTACTTGCCTCCACAGTTTGTTTTTTTCACTTCTCCAAGTAACCAAGTTACCCCATATAAATGAACAATAACCCGTAATAGATCTTTTATCAGTCAATTCTCTTGGTCAACTAACATCGGTGTAGGTCTCAATGTCACGATTCTCAATTTTCATGAATATCAATCCATATCCTGGAGTCATCTTTAGGTACCTTAGGATTCAAAAAATTGCTTCTAAATGATCTTCATTTAGATCGTTAATATGTTGGTACTTCACCCACAACAAAAGCAATGTTAATTCTGACAAATAAATAAGTTTCCCTACAAGTCTTTGATACCCATCTTTTTCAACGTGTTATCCTCTCCTTTTGATGCTCGTCGATGTAGATCCATAGGAGTATATGTTGGTTTTCATCTCAACATTCTTGTCTCTTTTAATAGTCGTGGATATACTTTCTTTGGGATATGACAATGCCTTTTTTGGATCTAGTTACTTCCATTCGCAAGAAGTATCTTAAAGTTCCAAGATCTTTGATCTTAAACTCATAAGTCCTTATAATTTTTATTGTTTAAAGTTCTCTTACATCATTGTCTGTAAGAATAATATCTACATATACAATAAGGATTGATATATACCTTCTTGATTTGATTTTATATACAAATTGTGATCAGCTTTTAACTGATAATATCCATTGATAAGAATAGTTAACGGTAAATTTTTCAAACCATGCTCTAAGAGATTGTGCAACCCATACAATGATTTCTTTAATTCCTAACCATTAATTTTGGATATATCTCCATTTTTTTTTTTTCTTCAAGATCCTCATCAAGAAATGCATTGTCAATGTCTAGCTGATGTAAAGGCCAATCCTGGTTGACAACCAATAACAATAATACCCTTTTGGTGTTGAGTTTTTTCACTTGTGCAAATGTCTTGTGGTAGTTGATCCCATAAGACTGAATGAATCTTTTTGCTACAAGTCTAGCCTTAAATCTTTTTATGCTCCCATCTGCTTTGTATTTAACAGTGATTACCCATTTGCACCCAACAGTTCTTTTTCCAGGTGGCAGAGCTATGATCCAGGTATTATTTTTTTCAAGGGCAAGAAATTTTTCTTCCCCATCTTTTTGCCAAATAGGAATAATTAAGGCCACTTGGATTGACTTAGGGACCTGCATATTATCCAAATTCTAAATAAAAGATTTGTAAAAGGATAATTTTTCATAGCATAAGTTAGTCTATCAGGTTTTTTGTGCATTCTTGTGCTCTCTTTCTCTTATGCTCAGATGTGTTGACCCAACGTCTGTGTCAATATTTGAGACATTTGGAGTTGGTTCTAGTGATTTGTATTCCTGATTTTACATATTGTCCCTTACATGCTCACTATTCTTTTTTAGGTGTACGCACGAAATTCTTAGTTCTTGGTGGGAGCTGTGGGAGGGTTTAGTGGAGTAGAAGGTTCATTCTCCGATTAATTTGTGATAGTGGGGACAATAGTTGGTTTATCAAGAATATAAAGGGAGATGAGCTTAAGGTTCCTTAATGTACCCCAAATCTGATATTCTCTCAAACTCTTCCCTTAAATGTTAGATTTGGGGTAATATGGTTGGTTTTCAAAGAATGTGACATCAATAGAGTTGTATTTTTGTATTATGGAGGCATTTTTATCCCTTTTTATTTGAATAGTAGCCCATAAAAATGCATTTGAGTGAACTGGTATCATGTTTGGTTTGATGTGCTTGATGTAAATGAACAAAAGCGATGCAACCAAAAAAAACATTTAACACTCTGTTGTGTATTGAGAGGTTTGTTAAAAGCTTAGAGTTGAAGGACTAAATGTGGGTGTTGGAGGTTTATTAAAGTTTAATACTCTATTGGGCATCCTTTTTATGAGATAAGTAGATGTGAGAATTGTACCTTCCAGAAGTGTTTGGATACATTGTTATTGAATAAAATTGAATGGGCTACTTCGAGGAGATATTTTTTATTTATCATACAATGTCATTATAGCATAGCAATGTCATCATAGCATAGAAATGTTACTTGTAAATTTATGGTCTCAACTATTTTCATGTCTTGTCATAATGTGTCTTCACTCTGTCTCAAATGTCATATTAACTATTTATAAAGTTTGGGCCCCCAATATAGCAGTTATGAATATCCTGATACCAATGGTTTTCTACATTTTATCATTATTTGATCAATACGGCTCCCAAAATTTCATCGCAGCATGAACACCAGGAGTCAGTAATACATCATCTCTGCATAGCATACTTGCAATCACTCATGATAGTCTATTTATAATATTCTTGTAATATTTCTTAAAGCATAATACATATAGCAAACATTAATAGGCATTTTCTATATTGCATATATGAATTATAGAAAATGAATGCTTGCAGACAATTAATATCATAAGTATAACTATATGTATCATAGTATAATCATATAGCATAATAACATCACATATATCGTAGGAAGAAATCAGCTTGCATTCATACATTTAATACAAGTATTCATACACAATATACAGGAAATTCTAAATGCATCCGTGTCAAATGAGAAATCATATGAAAATATATAAAAGATTGATTTTCTTAAATTAACACAAGATTATTTTACCTGACATGACGGAGCAGCCCTACGATGAGTTTCCTCGTGCTCTCGAGCTCGCCACCTCGAGTAAAAAACCTGGAATTCTAGGCATCTTACGGTTCATGAAAATTGGTTCATAACTTCATTAACAGAAAACATGCCTTAAATGCCAACACATACCTCGAACGGGTTTCTCGACATGACCCAACATTTTCCTGAACTGCCTAATCTTCTCCCCTCTTCTTCTTAACACCTTAATCATCCTTTCTTATTCACTAGTTTCTTGCTAAAGACCTTAAAAAAGCTTGCAAAGTAAGTTTGGTGCCTGCTACGGCTACCATAAATGAAAAATTGCACAAACTCAAGGCAAACATCAAAACAGAAATAAGAGAAAGGAAAGGAATGCTCGGAATAGTGAAAAAAGGGATTCATGCTCACCAATTTCTTCCCGGAACTCATTGTCGTGAACTGCAGCTCCCAGAACTCCCGTTTGCCTCTCTATTTGCATCTGCTACAGTAACTCGTGCGCAACATTCACATGAGGGAAGGAATATGGAGAGGGAATTGCGGCATAAAACTTGGTCCCCAATAAATTCTAGCCCTGCGATCCAATGCTGCCGCTACATGTGCTATTAAGAGCGGGGAGAGGTCGGTTGGAGTAGTAGAGTTGTGGGATTAGGAGATAATTAAGGGTTAATTAAATTAATTATCTTATAACTTCTGAATTTCATATATCCCAATGAATTCATAATTAATACATAGTAATTATATCGAATTGATTGATTTC